CCATGGACTGTCAACTACTGCTCAACTCTCAACTCAACTTAAACCAACCCCTGGATTGTCAACTACTGCTCAACTCTCAACTCAACTTAACCCAACCCCTGAATTGTCAGCTACTGCTCAACTCTCAACTTAAACCAACCCCTGGATTGTCACCTACTGCTCAACTCAACCCAACCCAACATTGCACCACAAGAGGGGTCCAGCACTTTTTTTTTTTTTAATTCACATAAAGCTACACAAGACTATCTACACTAGCTGTCTCTGATTTAGCAGTGATAAACTAGAGGGAAGGCAGCCAGTCAACACCAGTCATCACAAATTCCTGGGCTACTCTTATACCAATAAATAGTGGGATTCACAGTCACACTTTAATACCCTCACAGATGAAAGGGTGAGCATGTTTGGTGGGACTGGGATTCGAAACCCGTGACCTGCAGATTGTGAGTTGAGTGCCCTAACCACCTGGCCATGTCAGGTCCTATCAGCACAACTCCTGGATTTTCATCTAGTACTCAACCGAACATTACATATTCAGAAAATAGAACCTTATAGAAATTATACAGCAATTCTGATAACAAGGTACTAGCAAGTCTTCTGAAACCCAAAATTAATACTTCTAGTCCATGACAAATCTGGTAACTACCATAAATCCACTACCAGGTCTTCTCAAACCCAAAACTAATACTTCTAGTCTATGACAAATCCAGTAACTACCATAAATCCACTACCAGGCCTTCTCAAACCCATAACTAATACTTCTAGTCCATGACAAATCCAGTAACTACCATAAATCCACTACCAGGCCTTCTCATACCCAAAACTAATACTTCTAGTCCATGACAATGCACCAAATCTGGTAACTACCATAAATCCACTACCAGGTCTTATAACATGGATATAAATGGCTCTAATTTAGTAACCACTAAAACACTAAAATTAAAGATGACTAAACACTCATTATGAAGCTGCAATCTCTACTGAATGGCACATAAAACTGATGAAACAGGTTTAACAAAGAATTTAATGCTTGGATATTAGAAATGAAAAATGCACTA